ATTGATAGGTCGAACCTATCCTAGGAGGGCTTCCTGGGTGGATCGAATCCACTTGGCTAAGCCAACTGAGACACAGGCCCGGACCTGGCACGCTGGTTACTACACCGGTCTTGCTCAGTATAATAGAAAAAATATCAAAACCCGGAAGAGGGGCCCGGAAGAGGGTATGCCTGCAAGAGGGCTGGACCTGGAAGAGGGTTCGAACCGTACTTACACGGGCCCATGAGGTTTGACTGGTGTCGGGGAATCAGCCGGCGCCGTCAGATTGATTGGGGACTAAAAAGATGCCCATTAAAAGAAATAGAAGGGGATCGTCCACCGTGGCGCATCCTACATCCCCCTTCTCAGGGAAGACTTGAACGGGGGGGTGAGCTAAGGCCTTCCCGGGATGGTAGAAATCAAAGGGCCATTAAAAGACTTAATCACCCGGAAGAGGGGGCCCTGGAAGAAGGGTGCATTTGAACCTTGGAGAGGGTTCGAAACCATTCGACATGGTTAAATCTCCAGTATTCTTACCGGTTAAGAATACTCCAAGAATTACTAGGTTACAGGTGTTTCCATCTACAACCTACCGATAAAAAAAAAAAGAATACCCCGGTCGGGTATGGGCACAACAGAACTTCGAAAGTTTTACATCCATTGAAAGGCAAGCCAGCCGACCGGTCAAACCATGGAGTAGGAACTCACCGGTCACACTAAACTTTATCAGAGAGTTGGCAAAACTACCCAAAAGGCCAAAGTAAAGGTCGGCCGGTCAAATTTTTTAAGTTGACCAAAATGATGAAAATGTTCGAAAAGCAAAAGATGAAGTTTAACCGATCAAAGTTTCTCGGACTGATCCTTGAAATGAAATGACCAGAGAAAACTTTGAAGTTATACCGGTCAAAGCTACTCGAGCTACCTTCAGATAAAGTGATCAGGGAGAACTTTGAAGTTCTCCCGGTCAGAAACAAATGAGAAGTGGTCTGATTGGGCTACCGGTCAGGATTTATAAGAAGCAAAAGCAGAGTATAAATCAACAAGCAGACAGATAGGGAAGATTCACCGGTAAAGAAAACAAACATGGCATTCGAATTTAAAAATGTCAAATGTTTACAATTACGCCGGGCATACCCGGGGAAATTTCTGCTCAATGTTTTACAAAAACAACCGGGCGCAGCCGGGAAGATCCTAATCTAGGGGGAAGGGGGGAGTGGGCTCTTCCTCTGGGATAGGAGCCAGGCCGTAGGAAGCCGCAGTGAAGGCCGGGTCTCTCTTCAGGAGGATCCGGTGGGAAGCTGCCCGGTCTTTCTTTTGACCGCACTTGAATCCGAAGGATCCAACGGCGGTGATCATCTTCTTTCCTTCAGGCTCCCGGTATAGAAGCCTGAAGGATTCCATGGTGGCTTCAGGGCTCGCCGTCAGAACCCGGGCAGCTTCGGCCTAATTTTCCTCAACCCAGGCGGCTGCGCGCCCGGGGAAGTTTTCTTCCTTCTCCATCATCTCCCTCTTGGCCTCAGAGACTTCATCCATGAGCCGGCCATTCTCTTCCTTCAGCTGGGAGATTTCGGTCTTCATGGACCCGGCTAACCCCGACAGCCTGATCAGCTCATCGGCCTGGCTCTTCAAGATGAGGGCCATCTCCTCCTTCTCCTTCTTCAGCCGGGCAAACTCCGATGGAGAGCCTAAACCAAGCCGGTCGGCTGTGAGGGGTCCAATCTCCCCCGCCTGCACAAAAGGGAAAAGAAGCCCGGTAAGAATGGAATAATAAGCGAAGAGGGATCAAGACCAGGATAGCAGCAGAACTTACCTCCTTCAGCCTCAGCCCCAGGTTGACGAAGGCCTCTTCGATGGTCTGGCCGGCCGGCTCAGGATTTGACCGGGCCCTCTTCTTGGCATAGGAGGGGTGCGTGGTGGCCACCTTCTTCACCCGGCGACCGGCCTTCTCCTTCCCCTTAGACCGGTCTCATCCTCATCCAGGATTTCCATGGTCTCTGGATTGACCAGGAAAGTCCTAGCAGGATTGGCTTGGGAGCCCCCGGTCTCCCCGGCTGGTTGGTCCTCGGGGATAGCGAACTCTTCAAACTCCATATCTGCAAAACAAACTAAAACCATTAAGTACGAATACTTTGGCCAGTCAACTACGAATCGCGAGAAAATTGAAAGGTACCTGGGTGGGAGTTGCCTTCAGCCTCCGCAGTGTTGCCCGGGGAGGGTACCCCGCGCCCCGCTGCGTCATGGGCCGGGGAGGTACCCTCGCCACCCGAGTCGACCCTCCAAACCCAGCTGCCATAATGAAACGTCCTCCCGGTGAAAGGATCCCCACGCATGAGGACCTCAAGATTCGCTTCNGGACTTCGGAAATGAACTTCCTACCGGTGCGGGCTTTGAAGAATACAAAACCTTCGCAGCCAGCCCCGCCCGGTAGGACTTCGAAGCAAAAAAGGAAAAGACGCAAAGAAGGGAAGATTTTGAGATGGGTACAGATATTTACGAAGGAGTGGAGGTACCGGTGGGCGTTAGGAGTTATTTGGCCGGGCAAAATCCTAAACGCATGGCAAACCTCAGTAAGGAGGGGGCGAAAGGGAAAAACTATGCCCGCATCCAGGGAAATGGTATGGAACCCTATCCTATCCTCCCGGTGGGGCTCTACGATATTGGGCCAGTTGGGTTCGTAGAGGAGGGTATACCCATCCGGGAGCCTCCTACGAATTTTGTTCAGGGCGATTTTGGATACGCGTGAAGGGATGTCAAGAACGTAAAAGGTGGGGAGTGGAAAGTAACCGGCAGCATGGAGCCGCGCCTCCCACGCATCCCGGGTTTCGTGTTCGGGATCATAGGGACCCGGTTCGTCATGAACCGGGTCATCCCTCCCCACGAAGGTTTCACCGGGCATCTGATTAACGGGATGCGGGTTAGGAATAGAGGACTGGGGAACCTGACCGGGCGTAGATCCAGGAGAAGAAGACCCGGTCGAGGAAGATGAGTTGGAATCCTCAGAGGAGCAGTCCTCTGAGGACGAGATCCTATCGCTAAACGAAGACATGGCTGGGAGAGAAAAAAGAGAAGGAAGGGAGAACTTACTTGACTCAGAGGGCTGGATAGCGGAAGCTAAGGAACTTGACCGGTGAAAGCTCTAGGAGGCGAAGTGCGAAAAGTGAGGAGTGAAAGGGGTTGGAGGCCTTTATATAGGCGAGGAAGAATGGAGTGAGGGCGACGTGGCTTCCCCTGGGCACGCCGCGTCAGGCGGCGCAATCATGACACCTAGGGAAGGCGGGCGGACGCAGAAGAGGCGCGTCCAGCGCGCGACACGTGTCCAACGGATACTTTTCAAATTCAAAATTTGAAATATTCTAGCGGGAAACGGACGGAAATTCAAAATTTGAACCCATTTTCAGGATTTTTTACTTCCCGCTCATGACAAATTGCATGAACGAGAAGTGGAGGGCTTATTGATGGGTGTATTTCACCCAAGACCGGTCAAAGGAGGAGGACAAATCTTTGACCGGTCAATCTCGAAAGTTTTGAAAGGGAGACTTAAATCGTCAGCAAAACGATATGTCATCGGCCAAAATTTGACCGGTACACTTCACAAAAAAGTATACCGGTCAAACTACGTTATCATCCTATTTATTCCAGACTTCGATGAATTCACCTCTCAGAGATTACCCGGTGTAGTTTCTGAGGTTGGAAAGTGTCGGCAGAGGAGAATCTACGAGGGCTTGGCGTGTAGCGGCCCGTGTCAGTAGAGGACGACTGGAGATTCTGAAGAATCCATCCAAGGCACTACCTGACAAAGGGAATAATCCCCCTCACAAGGCGACAAGGTAGCTAAGAGACGAGGCCCATCACCTCTCAACATCCGAGACACGTGCCTCCACGTGGGCGCACGTGGTCCTGTTCCCTTAGCCTAGTATAAATACTCATGTAAACCTCAGAAAGAGGGATCCGAATTCATTCTCTCTAAACTCCCTTGTAAAAGCACCCGTGCATTCTCCGTTATAACATAAATTGGGTTACAGGTGTTCCACCTAAAATCCTACCGGTCAATTTGCGTGTTTTTACCTTTCTTACTTTGCCAAATCAAGCGAACTATTCTAGACCCGGTCTAGTATAGTTTGACCGGTCAAGTAATTTACACCATCAATTATCAAATTACATTTTTAACCATGAAATTAATACTAAAATGACAGAAGATCAAAATAACTATTTGTGAAAAAATATTCATAAACGAAGGACTACGTGGGTAATGCTTAATAATGAAACACTGAGTATGAAAAACATCATGTCATAAAAGACCAATTGAGAAAATTACTGCTGGTAAATGCATACTATTTTAAAAAGAAAAAAATGCTTGCAATACACCAAAAAATGTACTCCGTATCTCAAGTGTACCCCAAGCATTCACATATACCACACTTTTTAGTGTTAAAAAAGGAAAGAAATGAATAAAAATGTGTGGTATCCCTAGCATGGCGTACTCTTGAAGTACACCATTTGGTGTACCTCTAACATCTCTCAAGATAGAAAAATGCATTAAAGTCTCTTTTTTTCTTTATTGGTTCTCTTTTTTCATAAATGTGCTTATATTATTTTTTTAAAATTTATTTTATATGGTCTTAAAAAATAAAAATATTTTTGTGTTTAAAATAAAAATGAAATAAAAAATAACATGTACGAAGTACTTCATTATTTAAATTGGAAGAATAATGTCTCTCCAAGTACCAGGTGCAGCCTGAGCCCCTAACACTTTTTTTAATAGAAAAGGAAAAAATGAATTTATTTTGTTCTTCAATCTTCATATTTTGGCTTCTTAGAGCCTTATTTTTCTCCTGATTTTACACACACACATTGAGCTTGTGGTTATAGGTATATAGTCTCATATTCATTAAGGTGATTCTGTATTAGAGAGTATATTCTCCATTCTCTACCGGCCAAGGATTGATCTTTTTTTCATAGGACAAAAGGTGTCGAATATTTTTTTCGGTGTTTTAGACACATTATATTATTCATCAATCGTAACGGTAAAGGATAGCCGTATAAATTCTTATGTAGACGGTTAAGGATATCCGAGAAATCCTTGGGTAAAAAGGTTTTGAGGATAGTGTTTAAATTCCTTGGGGAAAATAGTTAAAGATAGTCGCAAAATCTTCATTGTAAGCAGTTCTAGATAGATGTTGTAAAATTTCGGGGTTGAATCCTATTGGCAAGGATTGTTTGCGAAACTAGTACGGTGCTTTGGCGAAGTTCAAAAAATTGAGACTTCAAATTCAAAAATCCTTAAGGAAGAGCCTTAAGGTACTGGAATAGCGAGTCTCCGAACCATTCCAAATTAGTATGTTCTTACCTTACGCTTTTTACTTCCGCGTTGTTTTCATTGCTACCGCATTTGCGAACACCAATTTTATTAAACTCCAAAAAAGGTTTTAAACGATTTATTCAGCCCCTTCTAAGGCCTAAGCACATAAACTAACAATTGGGGTAAATTTCACAAACAATACATAAACTTAGAGGTTTATTTCACTTTAGTATACGAACTTTGTTTTCTCTCAAAAACGTACACTAACTTACCGGGTTCCTTTCACCAAAAGTCTTTTAGACCGTTTCTAGGTATTCAACCGGTTACCATCCTACATGGAAGCCTTATTGGCATAAACATTTAAATCACTCCCTTCTTCTCTCTCCTCTGAAGCATCATCATGACAAGTGATACCTTCGAGGCTCCTCGATGGGCGTAAATATAGAAGAAATAGCCGGAAGAAGGGGAAGGAGAAAGGTCATATTTTTTTCTCATTTCACGAGACGGTGGCTACGTTTTTCTATTTCGCAAAAGTAGTAGTTGGTGAGATTCTTCATTGATAACTGCCCTTGCTGTTCTTGAGCGAGATTCACAGAGAAAAAAGGAAGCTCCACCCATGAAAGGTTAGTGCATGTCTTATTTTAAGAAAAACTAAGAATTAGGCCACTATGCATTTAGTGCATTCTTAAGTTAAAAAAACAAAAAAAACTGCATATTAGTTTAAGACTGCAAAGGAAAAAGTGGGACAAAGGGAACAGACGAGATGTTGACAAACAAATAGAAAGAGTACTGCTAGAAAAACAGTATAGAACAAAACTTCAGCACACATAAGCTTGGCAAAGTGACTAATGTATTTCAGAAGTGAATGAAATGATGAAAACAAAAAACAATGCATTAAGGTCACGGTGCAATGCGGAGACAATAAAACATAACTAAAGTGCAACACCAAAGTCGGTCACTCGTCTTCCTGGCTACGAAGCCTAGCCAATTTGTTGGTCACAACAACATCCAACTGGGCAGCACGTTCGACAATTTCCTTCCTCTTCTTGGTAGAAATGTTGTGTGCTATCTCGGCACAGTAAGTCCTGCAAGTCAAGAAAAAGGTAAGAAAAGAAAAGGAAGAACCAAAACATGTAAGCTAATTAGTAAAACAGCTTTTGATCGTGCAAGAGAACCTGTTGTGCATCATCAAAAGTTCCAAGTCTTGAACATTGTGCACAACAAACTTCTTGAAACCATTGGGCAGAAAAAAACGGGTCTTCTTGTTGGAACCGTAGCCAATGTTTGGCATGAGAGTGCACCCTTTGAACTTTCTTCGCACACGAGAGTCAATACCTTTCGGCCTCCTCCAGCTTGGCTTCAGTGTTAAAAAACCAATTAACATTACTGCTCATTACTCCTACTTAAGGCTGAGCACAACTACAATTACAACAATACAACCACAAACCAAATAAAATATCACATAAACGACACATATTTACGCATTATGCTCCGCAAAAACTAGTGTATGACTTAAAAAATCTTTTTGAAATCACATAAACAACATATGATGATATGTTGTTCCTTTGCTTGCATGCACACACACAATGATAGCGAATTAGGAACATTTTATGATGCAAAACAGTCTTAAATACAAACAGGTGGAATGTTTACAAAACGAATCCCTCACACGATGTTCTTTTCTATTAAAGATTACAATCATTTCCTCCACACTTTGTTTAACAACTACTCACTCAAACAAGCTTCAGATGCTTTCTTAGCAAAGACATTTTGTCGAACAATGCAACAGTGATCCCACAATAGAGCATCACAAAAACAACCCTAAGTTCATAATTGCAGCAAACCATTATTTCATTCAACCAACAGATGATGAGAACCAGTGATTCAATCAAAACAGGAGGAATCAAGTGAGGAAGGCATACCTTTACAGAGACATATCTGTCGCTCTGCGCCCTCTTGAACTTCTTGACACGCTTCTTCACAATCTTCTTGTTAAGCAAGGGGACGGCCATCTTTCCTACCTGAAAATCAGGTCAAAACTCAAATCCTTCAGTACCAAAATCACATCCAAATCGTTATTATATACAGATCAGCAGCGATTGTGGAAAACGATGGCTAGAAACGGAAACAATGCCTGCCTGAGTCGAAGCAGCAAGAGCTCCCTCCCTGTGAACGCGGGGGAAGGAAGAAGACAGCGATTAGGTTTTCAGTCCCGTAGAAACAATGGACCGGGTGTTATACCAAATGGGCTGTAGACTACCGTTTAAAAGCCCACAAACTAGATTCTATTTCCACTGAAAATGCTAGAGTGCCACCACACGGCTATCATGGGTGCTCCCAAACTTCACACAGATAAAGACAGACGATAATTATTTATATCACATAGATAATTATCGTTTGTATTTGTCTCTGTGAAGCATGGGTACACCCATGGTAGGATCCATGTGGTGGCACCATAGCATGATCTTTTCGTTAAACACTAAAATCTCTCAACCCAATACACCCATATCTCTAGCAAAGTTTTGATTTTTTACATTAATTGAATATCATAAAATAGTTATCTAATTTTGATTTTTTACATTCAATTAATATCAATTTTTGAAATATAGTTAAATTATGAGATATTGATCAAATAAAAATATATTTTGAAAATACCCAGAAAGTATTTATCCACCAGTTCAAAAGTATAAAGACCTGATATGCATTTAAAATAATTTAGGAACCGAGAACTTTTTGAAAAAAAATATAGGGACCGAATACAAATTTTCTTTATAAACTTAGATATATATAATGTAATTTTTGTACTCCCTTCGTCCTAAAAACTTTTCTTTTTTTATTCGTCCAAAAAAATCTAATTTCTATTAAAAGATTAATTTTACCTTATTAATTTTTAATTCACTTATCACATCACTTCTATTCACTATTAATTTACTTATCAAATCCAAGTTTTATGTATCACATTTAAAGATATTTTTAAAAATTCAACACAAAAATACACTTCTTTTAAATCTTTTGAAAATCAAAAACTCCCATATTTTTAGGGAGTATTTATAAGGAAATAAAAAAAGTTGGAAAGAAATTTATAAATTGAAACAAGTTAGAACAAAAGAACTGGACTTCATGTCTTCTTGATTGATACTACTGCTTATTCATCTTTGGTAATCAGATCCGGCGCAGATGTTGATAAACATCCATTGATGACCTCGACTCAGGGTATTTCATCATTCTCCGAAGTTCATCATAATTCCCTTTTCCTTTGCCAATTTCTAAATTGCGAGCAAATAGTTTCATCAATTCATGGTTAAGTTTCATCAATTTATTCATTAGATTGCTACCATCGCTCTGAATTTGGGAGGTGTATTGCTTAGAGATGTGTTATTTCAGCTTCAGGTATGTTGAATATAATTTGAAATCTACCATTTGGATTTGGAACTAAGTTTTGATCTTGAGTTCAAATTTATGCAGATCTAAGGTTAGCTATTTTGTTAATTGAGTCTTGCAAGTATTTTTTTATAGAACCTCATTCATGAGTGTCCTTCAAATCAAACACCTCATTGGGTAAAATGATTTAAATAAAGCATTATATGTGTATTCTCCATTCGCGAAGGTCCCCATTCTTGCCAAGTCTTCTTAGGTCTACCTCTTCCTCTAGCTACATGTGTATTCTCCATTTAATCAACCCTTTTTCACCAGATGCTCTATTGGTCTTCTCTTCAGCTGTCCAAACCACCTAAGATGAGTTTCCACAATCTTTTCTACAATAGGTTCCACTCCAACAAACAAAAAAATCATAAAACTACAGGAACGAAAACATTTAGTAGAAGAAAAAAACTGAAACATAATAAAGAAAAGAAAGGAGGGGGTGGGATTGAAAAAGGGGGTGGGGTGAGGGGAGGCTTTGATGAAGAAGAAGAAAAAGGGGGTGAAAGAGGAAAAAGAAGAATAAAAAAAGGGATTGAAGAAGAAGAGTAGAGTGGGTGAGTGGGGTGAGAAAAACTCAGTTGTTTGGATGTGTAAATAGGTTGGCCTATTGCTGCTACTTTTTTGATTCTCTATTTTGATTGATTGTGGTTTTGATAAACTTTTAATGAAATCACTAGGACTTGCTTTAATTTCTAGTTTAAACTGGAATGGATATATGGATGATGGAATTGTTCAAAACTTACTTTTATTTCTCACTTCAAGCTTCTTGTCAACCATTAGTCAATCTTGATAAAAATATCTAGGCTCGAACCTACAGGGAAGCAGATTGCCGAGGCTTTATGCCCAGGCAAGGACGACTGGGAATAATCTGGGATTTTCTGTCTATGGTGGGATATTCGCTGGAATTAGCTAGTCCTAAACATGGGAAAAATCTACTTGTTGGACAGCCTTGGGGATTAATCATAGTCGCAATTTTTATAACAATGTCATTACTCATTACTTTGTTTTTGGTGCAATTAATGGTTGAATGCTCATGTAATATAGCAAGGGCTGTAATTCACATGTGTGTCTGTCCTTTGTTTTTTTGGAGCCTGTCTGCTATATGAAGCTTCAATATTTTGACCATATAAATTATAAATGTTCTATATAGAGTAACTAGGCAGCAACAACTTTTTTTTTTTACAGAAACTCCAATTTGATACTTTTCTTCTAAAACACTATGTCTAAGAGAGGGCATTTTATGAACTTTTATTGTTAAATTCACATCCAAATGTTCAAGTCTCTCATCTTCTTGGATCAAAGATGCCTTACAATGAATTCTTTTTTTTCCGTACTTGGGTATTAATTAGGTGTCATGCATCAAAATATCTAAGAGAACCATCTCTCTATTTTTTTTGCAGGGGCATAAGAATGTGTACATCGTGATCCCTAGGCCCCCAATGGAGTCGGGATGATATTGAGTTTTGTTGTTGCGGTTGATATATGCCGTAATCTACTCATTCAACTTTTCAAGGGGTGCACCAATCTTGAGTCTTATCTTTTTTCTTAGAATATATAAATCACCAAGCAATAACGATTAACGACAATGGAGGACGAGACCAACACCGGTTCCTCCTCCTCCTCAACAAAGGACGATGCATTGACGGTGGGCGAATGTCAAAAGATGATTCAAAGGAGCCTCCAAACACCAAAGGTGAAGTTCCTAATGGATCACTTGAAGAAAGCTGGGTGTGAGATCAGTGGCAGTTTCATTAAGGCCGAACGCTGTGATGATATGGTCAGTGGGGGTTATCTCCAAGGCAAAGGGATAGTCGTGTGCAGCAACGAACTGAGGCTACAAGACGAGGTAAACCAAGTTGTCCTACACGAGCTTATTCACGCGTATGACGATTGTCTCTCTTCAAATTTGAACTGGGCCGACTGTGCCCATCATGCCTGTAGTGAGATCAGAGCTAACCATCTGAGCGGCGACTGTAATTTCAAGCGAGAGTTGCTGCGGGGCCACTTTAGGATTCGTGGTCACGAGCAAGAATGTGTTCGGCGAAGATCAATGAAATCTTTGAAATCCAACCCGTACTGTTCCGAAAGGGCTGGTAAGGACGCCATGCTTGCGGTCTGGGATTTGTGTTACAATGACACAAGACCCTTTGAGAGTGCTCCATAAGGACTGTATTGAGAGAGAGAGAGAAAGTATTTCTTTTACTTTCAACTCTGAGAAATGAACGATTTTACGTTAATCATTTTCTGCACCATTTTTTGGACTGCCAGCTAAGTTAAATTCGTGGCATTTTAAATGTTGATTGTGCAATTATTAAATATGAGTTGGAAACTATTAAAAAAAAGAAAATATTGGAAATGCATTGAGAAAAACATCCTGTGTTTTTAATTGGAATGCAATAAAATAGAAATGTGTTTACATTTTAATCAGGTAAATTTGTTAGACATATATGGAAAGAAGTCTAGTTATAGTAGAATTGTTATTTATGTTAGTTTACTTATTTGGTGAATCCTAATCCATGTAGGGATCCTCACCTATATAAACATCCATGTACACAATTATTCCTTAAGAGTGATTTCATAAATCAACATGGTATCAGAGCACGGAGATCCGTCTCGACCTACTCCGTCGCTGCGTTAACCGAAGAAAAAAAAATCGGCGTTGCCGATCTGCTTCTCCCTCGCACCAGCTTCCGCCGTGACCAGTCATGGCTGTCTTATCACCTGATCCTATGGATCATCTTCCTACGGGTCTCAAATTGTTTGTCCGAAATCTTCAATCCCTAACTCCGGTCAAGCTTGATGACACCAATTATCCCTCTTGGTCTGCTACTGTTCGTGCAAATCTTCTTGCTTACATGCCAACTATGTGGGAAGCCCGGCCATGCGGTCTGGAACTGTTGGCACCGCTACGACGAATCCTATGCTGGTCCCCCGCAGGCGTTTTATGCAAATCAATCTGCTGAATCTAGTTCGAACTGGCATCTGGACACTGGCGCAAACACCCATGTCACGCCTGATTTGTCTCGGCTGCATACTTTGACTCCGTACCATGGCACCAATTCCATCACAACTGCAGGAGGTAACACCTATCCCATTGACCATACAGGCTCAGGTATACTCACCACCCCTCTCCACACTTTTACCTTAACCAATCTTCTCCATTCCCCTCACATTAACTCCCATCTTCTTTCCGTCCATCAATTTACTAAAGATAACAATTGTTCTCTTCTTTTTACCTCTAAGGATTTTACGATTCGGGACAATCTCACCAACCAAGTTCTTTTCAAGGGCCCTTGTG